CTCCGCTGGGAGGTTGCGTGACAATTTGTAACTCCGGTAATTATATGTCTCCTCCGGTGGCCCGGTTCCGGAGAAATATGCTGCTACTATCTTCCATGATTCGTTATTACCATTATAATTAAAATTTCTAAAACAAGCAAACAAACAAATAAATAAACAAACAACCCAAGTATATCAATGTATGCTACTCACTTGTCTTATTACAGGGGACAATATGTGACGTGTAAACTTACTTTATTTTTTTCTTTGTTTGAAGTTTAATTTTAAGTTTTTTAATCCCGACCAAAGTGAGGAGTTGTATTTTTTAAAACCAAGAACCTTAGATTCTTGACTAAGCCAATTTTAAAACAATTCAAATATTGGAAAATGTTTAGAAAATACTTTTTGAAAATCCGCGAAAATATAAGTAATCACTTTTTTGTCTCGGAACAAATAAGAAACTTATACGGGATAATAATTTTGTTAATTATTGATTTTAAGCAAATATATACCCGATGTTTAGATATTTATTTGGAAAACTTGTAGGTAAATATTGCGCCTGATGACCCGTGTGAGACAACCCCACTGCTAGAAACCAGGACCAAAGCCAAGCTTTTAAAAGTAATTCAGAAAATCTGCTTTGTCATATCCTCGTAAAATTAACACCTGGGTTTTTTTAATTTAAGGGACAGGAAATAATTGATATTGCATTTTAGTGTCGTAAAAGTCATAGCAGTTGTCTGTACTCTTTAAATATCTCCTATTTGAAAATTGATAACTCGAGATAACATTTCTAGAAAGTGGCTCATGAATTTTGTACCGCATAAACGTGTTGTAAAATTGCTGCGTTTGTTAAATATTTCATGTAATTTCTGTTCAGGAGGACACCCTGGAGTTTACTGGTTACAAGAGACGAACCAAAGAGGAGTTACAGAAGCTCATGTATAGGTTAGATATAATTAGTGATGGGACAAATTTGGTTCTTTTTAAAACCTATAAGCCTAAGCCTTGACTTTCAATACTTTTAAGTCTTATCACGTTTTGTTTTACGACTTTTGAATTACTAAGTTTACCAAGTTGACTTGAAGAGGAAGACGACATTATGGTAATAGTTAAATGTAACATATTTGATGTTGCTACCAAGCAAATAGTTTTTCTAGACACTTATTGAATCACCAATTTAGTAAAATGGGTCTGTTTACACTTCACAATTCTTGTGCGTCATGCTCTTTGTTTATTTAAAAAGTTAAAACTTTATTTTAAAAGTCGTCTTCTTATTTTGTTGATTACTGGTTCTCACTGTAGGGGGTAGTGAACCCTCCTATCTGTGTTTAGGTCTGAGATGGATGAGTGGATGGTGGAGGCTGAGGAGGAGGAGAGACGAAAGGCGGAGGAATTTCAACAGGTCTTTAATATTCTTGATGCGGGCGGAGGGGAGATGGATAAATTTCAGCAGGTAGGGAGCTCGAAATCTTGTATGTTTTCAATACTAACCCCTCATTTTGTTGAGCTATTAAAAAAAAATATATATTGGACCAAATAAAATTTTTTTACTCACAATTCGGCGTAAAATCAGAATAGATGAGCTACGAGGTTACAAAGTCGCATGCATTTGACTTTAGGTTTTTATAAAACTGAGATACAAATTTAAAAACACACAAAAATTCAAGATTTCAATAATTAGTTCCAAGATTTTTGTAGGTTGACCCAAGGGGTAAACCTTATGGCTCAGAACTTATAAAAGTACTTTAAATAGACTGTTCACGCAATCTATTTCAGTCTGTGTTGACGAACCGAGTAGAGGAGAGGGAGCAGAGGATTCAACTTGACGATTCCGACAATGAATCAGATCTGACCCTCACCCGACCAATTATACATTAAAGGATTGTTTACGAAATTGTTTGTGACTTAAAATTTTTATTTCTATCTGTTTTCCCTCATGTTAATCCAGATTCATCGACATGGTTCCTGGTTTTTTTTTACTTTGAGTTTGGTCCTTTCCGATATAGAAGGACCTGATCATTTTTCTGTTATCTGTGCAACCTTTGATATTTCAAATTTCAAATTCTGCAAGAAAATTATAATTTTAAATATCAAAGATTTACCCCATTAGAAAAGCAGAATTTGAAGTAGGGTTTCCATGCGCATTACTGTTTTATTCAAATTCTGGAAAGTTTGATCAAATTTTGTTAAAAATTGCCTTAATCAATATTACCAAATATATTTTAAAGTTAATTATCAAAAAACTAGCCTTTGAGAAAATGCACAGCTACAGAGTAGGTTTTGCGCAATAACGCATTGGAAATCCTAGTTTGAAGCATGTAATAAGTTCCTTTCTAGATTTATCAAATAGTGAAAACCTTTTTTGAAAAGTATATAGAAAATAGATGGTGTTAATTTAATTAGAGATATGTGTAGCTTTTTGATCTGAAGTTTTGATAAAATCTTCTTAATTGTTTAATTTCAAGAGGTTTTTTGTTTCCGATGGCATTCATATACTTAAATATGAGAATTATATATATAATCAAAAAATCCGTCCATTAACATGAAGTTTTCTTCAAAATATTTTAATAATAGATTTAATGTATCCTAGATACATATATATATAGACTGAAATTATGGTAAAATTATGGCATTAATGAGTAAGTGAAAAATTTTATTTGTAATTTAAAGAAGATGAATAGCTTCTTGTATTAAAATAAGGAGATTCTTTTAATCAAAGAGTTATCCCCAATAGTTAAGACTGAAATAAAGACCTGCAACTCAGAAAAAAAAATCCAGAAATTTTCACCTTTTTTATTGTATTACTTTCACATTAAATTTATCAGGCCTGAAGTTATGCTCTTTGCATTCTAAGGGTTAACTTATTTTGGGATGGGGGGGGGGGGGGGAAAGTAAACTAAAAACGGAACTGTATCGGTGTTTTCTTTTAGTCTTTTTTTATGACTGCAGGTAGGGGTTGTTCAAATATATATATATAATATATAATATATCTCTCTCTTTTTATTAAAAATATTATGTTTCAATTATTTATCAAGATTATATTGTTATGTCTATTTAGTCTGAATGTAATCTGTATTTTATTATTGTCATATTTTCCTGTTATTTTATTAACCTTAACAACTGTTGTACTCAATATGCTGCCAAACTTGTAAGTTAGTTGTCATGTTATGTTTGCTGACTATTTCAACGAGATTTTATGTTTAGAAATAAATTTTGAATTTCTTTTACGTTTTAAGTAATTTTAGCTTTGTTGTTAAAAAAAACTTTTTTTTTAATTAGGACGAAAAAAAAGGAAACCATGCCCCTAAAAAACGAAAGTTTTAGCACTTTTGTTTTTGCATTTATGTTCTTTCATGCCAAAATTTGGTATAAAGGAAGAAAAGCAAATGTTTAGAACTAACCAAAACTTATTGAAAAATTAATTGCAACAGAGCTGGTAGAGCAGTTTATGCTTGTGCAATGGATCTGAGAAAGGCATTTTATCTTGTGTCATGGGAAGTGCTCTTCTCAAAGTTATTGGAGAGGGGTGTTTCACCTCTAGCATTAAGGTGTTTAATGTTCATCTACTCAAATCAAAAATGTAATGTACTCAAATACCTTCAATAAAAATGTAGTCAGATAAGGAGCAGTTTCTTCCCCTGTGCTATCTGTATTTATATTGACAAAGTTATCAAGATATTACGCTGTTCAACTATTGGATGCCAAATCCAGGGTGTCTATATGGGCATCAGGGTATATGCAGATGATATTATTCTGCTTTCTTCTAGCAGAACAGGTCTTCAGGAAATGGTGAAAATTTGTGAAAATTTTGCCATAGCTACTAAACTGAAATTTAGTACAAATATTCGAATCGAAAAATGTAAAACTGAATGTCTTATTTTTTCTAAAGAAAGGATTAATTATAATGAAATAACCCCAATTTTATTGAATGAATTACCTTTACCATTTGTCAACGACTTAAAACATTTTGGAAATGTTCTGCAAAGTGATAATTAAATGACCATAGATTGCAATAAAAACCGAGCTATTTTCATTTCAAAAATTCATTCCCTTAACCAAGAATTTTATTTTAACAGTCCTGATGTTATTTTGAAACTGTATAATATTTATTGTTGTAGTTTTTATGGATCTAGTATTTGGGACTTGAGTTCCCAATGTGTTTCAAAATTGTATACAGCATGGAATACTTCTATTAGAATTCTTTTTAATGTACCTAGAGATACGGTATAGGTACTTGATTAAAAGTATTTCACAATGTTTACATGTAAAAACTATGTTAGCTAGCAGATGTGTGTCTTTCTATGAGACTATTGCAGCAAGTTCTAAGCTTTGCATTAGAGTTCTTTCTAATTGACCTTAACACCGTTCTTGGCAGAAATTTATTTTCTATTGCAAATGATTGTTCTGTAAATCCTTCGGGTAAAATGTTAGTTAAGAAACAAATGAAATATTTTGATGTCCCATTGGAACATGCATGGAAAGTTCCGGTTTTACAAGAATGAATAATTTATATGTTGAAGGATTCGATGATTACTTAATAACTGAAATGATAGATATGTTATGTAATGAGTAATGATCAATGTTGTCTATTTTTGCATATTTTTCTCTTTTCTTTTGGAAACCCGTATTTTCAAAAAAATATTTAAACAAATTTAAACTACACCATTTATATATGTATTTATATCTGTGTGTGTAAATAAATCTTTATAATATTATAATAATATACCTATTTGATGGAGGAAACTTCCGAACGCCATGAGCCTCCGCTGTGCAGACACTAGCCTCCTAGATTAAAACAAAACAAACCAAGTTCAATCACGAAATGAATTTCCAAATATCCTCCTTACTGCGTTAGAAATGTTTTATTGTATAACATGTATCTTATAAATAACTATATGAGTCAAAATAAATTACAAATCAGGACAATCAAAAAGCGACGTTAATCTAAAGTAAAATTCGTAAAAAAAAAAAAATTTAATTTGTTTTACGTGGATAAACAAAGAGTTCAAGGGAAGCTGTACTACATAATGCAGGCTCGTTTACTGCATAGATAGACGAGGCTTTTACTGCATGGCGGAGGTTTGGTCTGCCTAGCAAATCTGGGAGACTCGTGTCTGCATGGCGTCTGGGGGTTCCCGGTTCCCTCCCTCTCTATGCAGTGTGTTACGGGTTGTTAGTCGTTTTTTGCCTAAATTTCCTCTCAGGGTAAAAATTTGGCACAGTGTTGGCTGAGCAAATGATAAAAATTTGGGTATCGAAAACATTTGCTTTTATACTTTATGCCAAATTTTGAAAAAATATGTACCAAAATCTAATGTGTTAAAAAAATGTCATACAAATTGTTCCCAAATTTGTCTACCGTGAAAACTATACAAAAACAAAACTTGTTCAAAAAGTTGTTAAGTAAGTATTGTTCTGTTTTTCCCTTTCAATATTGAAGAACTATGATTTTGTCAGGCACTTCACTAAAAGATCTATTTTCTGCTAAATCTTATTCATTTTTATCTTTTTTGTGAAAATTCAAGATCAAAAATTTGCCAAAATTTATTTTCCTCCATAGCTTTGTTTGAAACTAAAAGATTGTAAATCAGTACATCGATAATAAACTACAAAAGTTTTTACACTACATCATAGATTATATAAATACAGCAGCTAAATTCTATTTACAAACAGTCGGTTACAATATGTGTGCATTATTGAGTATTGAGCTTTATTTGAACTGAATTGAAATATTATGGATTCTGCGGATCACAAGATAAGGATTACGGATCATTAAACTATTTAAGATAAGGATTACGGATCATTAAACTATTTAAGATAAGGATTACGGACCATTAAACTATTTCAGATAAGGATTACGGATCACCAAACTTTAATGAGCTATGAATAGTGGATCACAAAACTAAACTCAAATATGGGCGATGGTTTATGAACTAAATATGGGCGATGGTTTATGAACTATATAAAACTGTGGAATATCATCAAGCTTTATTGTCTATGGTTTATGGATTATCAAACTACATTATCTATGGAATATGGATCATCAAACTATGTTATCTATGGATTTTGGATCACCAAACTACAGTTAACCCCTAAATAAGCCATACATCGAAAGAATGTATCAAATGTCGTCATGACAATTTTTCAATGGTTCTATACTATTTTACGTAAATATCAGTATTTGCTAAAAGAGCTCCATATAATCCTTTAATTAAAAAACTGAATATCTGCAACATTCCAATATCAGAAAGTTAAGAATACGACATTTAATGAATTCTTTCGATGTATGGCTTATTTAGGGTTTAACTGTATATTATTTATGGATTATGGATCACCAAACTATATTATTTATGGATTATGGATCACCAAGCTATATTGAATTTAGGATCCTGTCTGTTAAGTTTTCTGATCATATTCCTATATGGTTCAGTTCTTGGTTGTAATGAGCATTGCGGAAGCCATTTGTTTAGAAACACTTGCTCTGAGAGGGTCATCTCATCCAGCTGGTGGAACAGCGAGTCATCTCTCCAATCCTCCGGCAGCTCTAGGTAGGATAGAGTGTCCTGAACCCGGAAAAATCCGTCAAACATCGGTCCGGGGATTTCGTCGTTGACACCCCAGCAGTCAAGTCCGTTCATAAAACGTGCAACTTTTTCCTCTGCTGGTGTACGGATTGTTCGAGCCTCAAGGTTTTCAAATACTTTAAAGGTTCGCTCCATATTCCCGATATACTTGGACTCCAGGTTGGTTATGTCTGGGTATATTGCTGGTTCAACATGCATGATAGTTTCTGTTCGAACAAACTCATCCTTCTGTGATAATATACATGAGATCTCTTGCGAGGTTAGAATTTTCACCGACCTCGAAGATTTAACAGGGTCTGGCCTTTTAACAGGCTTTGGACTCTTTAGTTTTTGAGGCTGAAGTTTAATCTCGACCTGGGAATTGGCTTCCGGGGTGATGGTTGGAGCGTTCTCTTTGTTCTGTAGAATTTGAACCTTGAGAATATTTGGCGGTTTTCTCCTTCCTTCTCCAGGTTTGGTTAACACTTTGGGTTCAGATACAGTTCTCCTTCCTTTTATTATTTTTGGGACGGATACCAGGGATATCGGTTGGGTTGGGAGGGTCATTGGTTTGGAGGGACGGGTTTGAACGGTTATAGGTTGGGATTGGGATGTAACGGATACAGGATGGAAGGGACGGGTTTGGACGGATACAGGGTGATTGGGACGGGTAGGGACGTTTACAGGTTGGGAAGATCGGTTTGGGGTTGATACAGGTTGGGAGGGTTGGGTTAGGGTGGATACGGGTTGGGAAAATCGGTTTGGAATGGATACGGGTTGAAATGGACATGTTGGGGCGGATACAGGTTGAGAAGGACGGGTTGGGTTACCTTTACTAACAATCGATATGGGCTGGATAACAATGGAGGGTCGAGTAGGAATCCCAGGATTCAAATGATTAGGTATTGTAGGTCTAACTAACGGTGTAGTAGATTGTGAATATATACTTGGTAAATTTAATTGTTTGGAATCTGCACTTGTCAATTCGAACCCATTGATATTACTAATGGTAGTTTGGATGGAATGCTGAATCAGTTTGGGTTGATTGAGTTGTTTGGTTTGGTTAATCAGTTTGGTTTGGTTGTTAAATTTTGCTTGATTTGTATTCTGAACTTGTTGAATGGATTCATGATGAATATTAAGAGCTGAAGCATCCATCTGCATAACATCCTATACAAAATTAACAGTTCTTGTAAATTAATACAGGAATTGAGTCTTTGCTACAAACTCAATTGACTAATCCCTAAATCTTTGCAACCTAATGGTGTTAACCTTAAATATTTCACACTTTTATTATTTGATCTGACAGAATTTATAATTTAAAATGTCTTAGGTCTCCGACATCATGGGTTGCAATGATAAAGGGATCAAAATACCCAATTATTTAATGAAATGTTTTGAAATAAAAGGAAAAGGGTGAACACCAAAAGATAAGACTTAAACTTGTTTAACATAAAGTTCTGAAGGTTGAATATATTTTGCCTTGAAATTAGTTTCAGATGAAAATTACTAAGACATAAGACTAAGATATATCAAGCATATTTAGATTTAACTTATTAACCAATTGAAAAAGTATTTTAAATAATATATTTATTTGTATGGAGGTTGCTTAATTTGTGCCTACTGCACAGAATCTTTTTATGCTTTTTGTTTTAAGATAAATGGATTATGTAAGCCTGATTCATCAAAGTTTCAGATCGTTATTCAAGAATTAAATATTTTTTTCTAATTTTTCCCAGTTAGAGTTAATGACCTGAATAATTTCTGTCATATCTGAATCCAGAATTGTTTCATCGTCAATAAAATCCAGATCTTCTAGATCCTCCGTAGTTTCACTTGCTGGGGACATAGGTAGCTCAACCATATCTAGATAGATACACATATATAATATATCGTTATATATTTGTAAATAGATGTTTGATTAGATGGGTAGATAAATAGAAAAATAGAAAGATGTTAATTAGATAGATCAATACATGTTAAGACACTTGCCCATGAAAAAAGAAAAATATACATCAATATATAGTCAACGTATATAGACATAAATTATATATATACGAAATAAAATGTATAGATACCTACTGCATTTTTTAAGTAGGAAAAGGGATTATAGATAAAATTAAAAATGTTAACATACCTAAATAGATAGATAAATATTTTTATCAATATATATATATATATGTATTTACATGGTTACTCGCAAAGGATATATTCAATTATATTCTTATTAGAATGTTAATCATATAATAATATGTATTATGATCTTAATTTATCTCTAATAAATCTTACTTACTTGCTATTACAAAGGATGAACCTTTAATAGCGATTGCATTATAGCTTTAAAGCATTCACTAAATAACTTGATAATGAAGCAAAAAGCAAGTTACCATTTATGCAAAAAAAGACCATGTATACGTCCAGTTTCTTAGATTTAGAATTTATATAGTTAAAGGAACTGAGTTACCTGGACCGGATTCAGGTTCCTGGAGAGTAGAACTTGTTCCTTGAAGAGATTCATTGGAACTCAGCGAGGTTGGGGAACCAAGGCTGAACGAACTAGACAATTTAAAATTCAAATTTTTATCTCGGGTATCACATACAGGTTGCACCACATAATAATTTTGAATCGTACACAGCGCTACCGGTATTTTCGAGACCAAAGAGAAAATTTTTAAAAATTGATTTAAATTAAAAAATGGATATGGCTAAAACGAAAATTTAAATGCAAATATAAACGGCACTTTAAATATTTTATGCATATATTGGCGTTAAAGCTTGAAGATAATCTAATATGATATCGGCCGCACCGCTTGCGGATTTTCCCGATTTCTTTTGAAAAGATATTATGACAATTACTGAAAGGTTGGAAAAAGAAATAAATTAATTTCACCAACTCTGTTACAAACTCTAATTTTTGACTACTTTATCTTTGCAACCTAATGATTTAAACCTTTAATATTTCAAAGTTAGATTGTTTAATCTAACAGAGCTTGTGGCAAAGACTCAATTTTAACAAATTACTTCCCCCCCCCCCACACTTTTTGGTTAAATATTTCTGCAGGAGGAGCTTTTGTGTATGCTAAGCGAGTCAAGGATGATTTCATAATAGCTCAATTAACGTTTTACTTTCCCAGTCCCCCCCCCTGCGGAATTTTAAAAATATTCATATTTTTTGGGTAAAAGATGTTTACGGGATGTGTCTTTCTGAGTTTGTTTAAAGGCTAATACCAGTGTACGTTTATATAAAGTTGATAAAGTTTAGTATAATTTATTAAATTAATGGTATAAGAAAGCGATCTTAATCTCCCTCCCAATTATCTTTAAAGAAATTGACTCTTATGTTTTTAGGCATTATCAAGTTTAAGGTTAAAATAGTTTTAAGATACTTATATATAGAGTGTAATCGCGCTGTCTATTGAGTGCAATTTCCGATTTACAACAGTACCCTCGCTCATAAGCTCTGTCATATCAGGATCATTTTTTCTTTATACATTAGCTTGGTTGTCTGCTTTAAAAACAATGGATGAATTGTAAGAATTAGTTCCCTTATCATTAAAGGGATGTACTCGACATTACGACAAAGGTCTGTTAAAGTTGTTCATTCATTAGATAACAATACTCTCTGTCTTTAATCCTTGGGGTTTTATACTTAAATAATAGTCAAACCAGGGACCGAATTTAAAGAATTTGAGCCGAGGTTTTAATTTAAGCCACGACTCAAATATGGTTTGTTCCACTTAAAATCGTATTCAATGTTTCAAAATTTAAGCCGGCGCTCTCTTGAAAACGGTTTTTGGGGGGTTTCAGAACCGGCTTAAATTTATTAAACTCGGACTCAAGATCAACCAAAGAGAACAATTTTCCATGAAATGAATCCTAACCAAGGGCTGGGCATTATCTGGATTTTTGAAACCGCTCGTTTCACGTTCGTTAACGAGGGCCATGAGATAGATTGTTAGTTCTTTTTAAAATCGTTCTAATTGTTTATGAATTGTTCTGTTCGTGAATGTTACGGTCGTTAACGATGATTATGTTAAATGTTGTTAACGGTAGTTAATAATTGAACAAAATTCAGATTTTATGAAAATCTTCAAAAAAAATATTTTTTTACATAAATGATTTTCAGTGCTTCAGAAAATAGTTGAATCTCGTTATTGTGTCAACCCATTGATTATTTGAAAATAGTTAAATATTAGACAGCTTTCTACATAAAAAGATATAAATAAATGATATATAGATAAATAATTAATATTCTGCAATACAATAAGGGGTTAATTTGTCAATAAAAGATAATAAAATTGTCGATAAAGGACGAAATAAACTATTTGATAATTGTTATTCAGCCTGTAACTGTGACAGATAACCTATTCCGAAAATATGATAGAATTCAATTATTCCTAAATTCAAATCACCAATGACCTAAAATGTCCACTTGTATAATGAACAAAAAAAACAAAAAAAAACTTTAAAATTGATTGTTAATGGAAAGGGAGGGATGAAATACCAAGACGAAGATCTGAAACGTGCAAAGTGTAAAAGCAGAATACAAATTAAATAAAAGAACTATACAAAAAAATTTTATTTGGGGCTGAAACTCAAGGGAAAGGGGTAGGCTTTGCTGCCTTTTTTTCAGGAAGATAGGAGTTTGCAATAACTACTTATTGGCGGATAGTGAAACAAAGAGATATAAAAAAACACCATCAACGTTGATTTAATGCAGAGTGAAAATGTTTAAAATTGTTAAGGATAGATTGTATAAAAATGGGTTTTTTAACAAATGAGTGGATTAATGGGCTGGGATTGTTTTCAAGACTTACTTATTGACAGCACTGTTACCGTAGAGAACACTACTGGAGATCATTCTGGAGATCTTCTTCCCTACTCCTGGACCACTTCAGGGGCCTAGTTGTGACCCTTCCGTACTCCTGGACCACTTTAGGGGTTTAGTAGCAACCCTTGCCTACTCCTGGAACACTTCAGGGGGTTTGTAGGGCCCCTTCGGCACCTCCTGAACCACTTTAGGGGCTTAGTAGTGACCTTACTCTATAACTCTTGAACCCCTTCAGGGGAATGGTGATGATCCTTTTCTCCTAAATCCCTTCAGGTGGCTGTTCAGGGGACTAGCGGTGAATGGTGATCCTTCCCTGGCCTAGGACTCCTTCAAGGGGTTATTGGTTATCCTTTGCATCTATTGATAACTCCAGACATGATCGTTTGATCTTTATTAAAACACAAAACAAAACTAGTTTATAACTAATGTGCAATGGATTATAGTCTCAGGAACACTGATTGATATCTATGAATATTGTGTATGCTGACCGCTAACCTATACAGGTAATGCATCAGGGATTAATTCTATAATCCTTCCCCCTAATTTTACCTCACCTGGCCCCTATCCCCCCCTCTCTTCAATTTTCTCTCCTAATTCCAATTCAATATCAATATAAGAGAACATTAATTTTGGCGGAATTTCTTGATTTTCGTGACCACGTAATCCTCGTATTTCTTATTTTACACCGAAGAGTACATATAAAAAAGTTGGTAGGTTGCATCAAGGATTTAATGCAAGGAAAGTTATTTCAGAAGTGTACACATCTTTTGTACTGCAGTGTACTGTCTCTGGGCGGTAATGTAAACACAAGAGTAAAACGGATGTGAAAGCCTGACATGGGATCCATCTTTCACATAAAAAATCAATGAAATATTCAGGTAATAGGAAACTATTATGTGAATTATCATAATTATCAAAATTTAATGCTTTTAGCCTACTCGGATACTAAACGAACACTGATGCATCTATTCTTGTTTACAAATTCCGCCCAAAGAGAACTGGTTTCAATGTGTACGCAGATTATACACGACCGCAATTAACTTTCCTTGCATTACACCCTGGGGTTGCATAAAATTATTTTCAAATAAAATAGAAATTATATTTATATATAATGTGCTCCCAAGTCCCATTATATGCTTAGAAATGGCGAAGACTTTGCAATTCCACGTTAGAAGTCTCTGAAGCATCACTATTTAAAATAACAACGTCTTTTTTATTTCCCGAATTTATTCTTCTTCAAACTTTTATTAACGAGAAGATTACAATTACAGTATTATGAAAAAATGTATAAAAATATATATGGAAATGTACGAATTTTAGAATTTATGTATGAAATTGCAATTGAATGAATTGAAATCGCAATTTACTCTCTATATAAAGATTTATAAGATCAAAAATAACAAAAACATCATTGTTCTGACATTTACAGACTGAAAATGTTTGACAAATGGAGACTGCTGCATTTTAAAAAAATGCATCTTGTCAATTCAGTGAATATTGACCGATTAAATTAGTTAGCTAAAGGGACAGTAAACCTACTATTTCTATACGAAATTGTATATATATGCATTTTCGTACAAGTTTGAAACAGCTTTATATCAACTCTCGAGTTAGGAACTTCAGATAGGCGTCTCAAGGGTCTCGATGAAAAGCTAAAGTGATTAGCTTTCAGCCTATACCCACTTTCATTTTTCCTTTACTGTCCCTTTAAATTAATTAAAAAGTTAGTGAGAATTCTTAAATGTCATACGCCAAATTAAAGATTATAAGGTGTATCTCAAGACTTAACGTAATGAATCTTAGTATCTTGACTAGTATAAAAGATTAACTGGATACGAGTACGTATATATATGTTGGATATGTAGTTGCATTGGAAATAATTAAATTGGATATATTAAATATATCAAATTGAAAAGAGAATCTTTTATGAAATACATTTAAACCAGTGTTTATAAACAATATTGTAAACAGTTCAACGTTTGACAGTAATTTTAAAATCTTTAGAGATTAAAGAAAAACTATTCGTCGTTTTAAAACCTTAAATATTTCGTGTAAGGAGCTATTACATACATACTTCAAAATTGAAATTTTTAAATATTTTTAGTTTTGAAGGAGTTTGATGTAATTTAGAATTATTTGATAGACCTCTGGAGTCTGGACACTTAAGCATAACATCTTTGTTTTTATATTGTCGATCTACTGAGTCCACTTAAAAGTGTATTTTAAATAATATAAAGGTTTAAATATCTAAAATTTGTTAAAGGATCAAAAAACTAAGCATCTCAACCATTTCTAAATTCTCTTAATACAATTTTCTTATTTCGTCACTCAGTAAGCTTAAAATACAACCACTGTGAAACATTTCTTAGCCCAGAGGAAATGAGATCTTGCCACAACTCAAATATTTTAATCCCAAAATCTTTGCAACGCGATGTCGTAGACATTTTATTTTTGAAACTATGAATTCGTAAGTTTAAAATGATTAAGTTTGAAATATCAAGGGTTTACACCATCAGGTTTCAAAGATATAGGATATAGACAATTTCAGTTGTGTCAGAAAACTCCATTCCTTTAAATTCAAATAAAACATTTCTTTTTTGAATAAAAACTTTTGTAAAAAAACATCTTTTCCATAAAAAAAGTTTTAAAACATTTTTTATCTTAAAAATGGGCCTGAAAACTGAATGATTTCAAAGGCCAACAATTTCAACTCGACTTGAGGACTCTTTGACTGAAACGGGTAAACCCCCAAAATGTGTAAAATTTATTGTACACACAAGATTTCTATAAATTGTCCTGTATTCCTCTTGTAAAAAAAGAACTTATTTTTCGAATAAAAACAAAAATTATAATTATTTGGTTTATTCTGCTGCTGTAATAAATACAGCAATCCCCATACTGTTAACCTGAACCAGAGGTAAGAGAGTTACAGAGATCGATTATCAGCTAAAATATGCGATATTTTCCACAGCATGTTCTATTGTGTACAAGTACTGTACACGACCACGCAGCAAAAATCTGTATTCAGGGATATTCTTTAAAAGCTGTAAAACTTAACCCCTGAATGGGTATCATGTTCAACAGTGGCCGTGAGATGGCACTCTAAAAACCTATCCTCAAAACGTAGCATGTCGTGCTGGGTCAGCTATAGGCCTACGTATTTCACCCTGTGAAAGGAGACAAGCAGTCGGTGTAGTCTGTTTCCTGAACATACAGGGTGTCCCACGAAACATGACAATAGCAAGACGACTTGAAAGACGTCTTTGATATTTGAATTTATTTGTGACATTTAGTCTTCTATCTACTTTAACATGTATGATTCTTGAATCAATTATCACATAATTCTCCTAGCCCTGGCATTTCCAAAAAGTGGTCTGCGTTTTTTGTGCTTTCAATATTACCGGAGATATAAAGAGTTTGGTTCAGATTTCAATTTTGTTAAATAAAAGCAAAATTGTCGAAATCTAAACGAAATTGTTCATATCTCGGGCAATATTGAAAGCACAAAAAATGCAGACCACATTTTCGAAATGGCAGGACTAGGGGAATTTTGTGATTATTATCTCTAGAAATTTACTTCTAAAATTAGGTTGACAAATAAACGCAGCAAATTATATCAAAAATCAAGACGACATTCAAGGCCTCTTGCATACTGTCATGTTTCGTGGGACACCCTGTACCTAGATAAATTACGTTGTACATTGTGTGTAAATGGAATTGCGCTTATCATTAACTACGCAAAACTTGTAAGGTGATTAAACTAGCCTTGCTACATCTTTAATTACGTCAAAACCTGTATTTTGATTAACTTATAACTACGTCAGTGACTGTCTTAACTACGCTTATAGATATGTAATAAACATTGTGTAACACTATATTCTGTAAACTGAACCACGTTGTACATTATCAACTATCTACGTTTGTAAACTTCTTCGTGAAACCAATTATTCATTTGAACTGCGCTTCAAATGAATACATAGCATGATCAGCTTAATCATGTGATATATTATGACGTATATTTTAATTGTGCTGTAAATATGTTATCTTAATCATGTGATATAGATAACGACTAAGAAATTGTAAGTATGTATATTAACTTTAACTAATAACATATAAACTGTAAAATCTATTTAAGGCGATTTACAGCCTATTTAAAGAGAATATAAGACAGCAAATTGTAAGCATGAAAGACAATATTAAATATGTATTTCAATGGTTTCAATCTAAAAATATCTACAGAGAATATAGTTACTAAGATTGAAAGATAAATGTATAAATAAGTTAATAAGAAACGTACTTTTACTGCACTCTCTCTTGGTTTAATTGAGGATGGATACAAATCTCATCTCTGGATATCGGACTCTGGACTCTCGCCTCTAGACACTCGACACTGGACTCACGCCTCTGGACTCGGGACTTGGTGTAGACTCTTTGTACTACTGTCATCTGGACTCTGGACACTGGACACTGGACTCGGGACTCTGGACTTTGGACTCTCGACACGGGTCTCTCTGGGATATTTAACCCATCTCCAGTGATGGTTAGCTCCATTTGATCAAACTACTTGCGTACACTAAGATAGTAATGTACACAAGAGTACTGTACAGTTAATGTGTCACTACACATGTACCAGATACAGCTGGTAAGAAAGCTAAAGGGGGGGGGGGCAATCTATAGATTTAATATTTGTAGGATTAAGTTATCTTCAGATTACACCAACCACAGGTTTTACATAAACCTCAAATACATCATTTGATATAGAGACTCTGCTTTTATTACTGCGAGGTTGTAATTTGGTTCTCATTGAAACATACAAGCTGAGATTGTGCCCATTGGTTGGGCATTGATTCGAGCTAGTGTCTGGTTGATATTGATAGCTAATGAGATCGTGCCCATGTGGTTTGGCATTGATTGTTTGTAAAACAGATACATAAGAATACAGAGAGCTAGTAGTATCTGAGCGATACATACTAAAGAATACAACAGCGTCTTATCTGGACTGATAGAAATGGAATATTATTGAGATCTAGCACCCTCCACTAAGCATTCGGTCGGCCTCGTACTGTACACAACTTCTGAGATTTATTTTGTACCGTCATGACATTTGACACAAAAACTTTGTACCGGCACGACTTTCATTACTAAACTTAGGTACAGGTGACAACAACTTTCTCAGCATACAATTAGTCTAGTACTCCTAGTACTCGATTTGAAACTAAGTATATCTTATATCATTATAACCTCTCTTCAAGTTAAA